TCTTACAGGTGCCCAACCAGATTGACTTGTTGGAGTGCATTTTCTGCATTCTTAATAGATAGCTAGCAGGAAACGCCTTGTACAGCCTCAGCTAGAGGGCTAGAAAGCAGCAAAGGGAGGGTACAAATCCCTGCCTCCTGCTTCCGCAAGCACTGGGCTGTTCTAAAGCAGGTCAGACAGCTCTGGCCTTCACTACTCACCTCGGCCCAGGCATAAAGTCTTGCTCTGTCTCAGGCGACGGTCCAGAATTAAGGTAAGAGAAGCTGAGGCCTCGGGAGAACTCGGGTGGAAATTCAACTGGGAAGGAGATGGAGGGCATCCACTGCTGTGCTCGATCAGGTCCAACCTTGTCTTTGGTTCCAAATGATCATCATGACAACCAGCGCCTCTGATGCTCCACTCTGCCCAGGAGTGCTAAGTGCCATGTTGCAGAAGCGTGATCAAATTGTCCGTGACTTATCTATGTGGTAGAGTAGACCCAACAGTTGGTTTTAGATTCTGTGTCCAAAGCCTTTTGCAGTAGTTTGAGCAGTATTCCTAGGTCCATTTGGGACCTAGGAATAGGTCTTTCTGTTTTGTAGCCTAGATGTACCTTTGTCGCATCCCTCTCTTGTAAGCCAGACCCCCACCAATGAACACATGAGTAGAGACCCTTAGAGGGGGATCACATAAGATGAAGCTGCTCAAGCTCTTCCAGAGGCGCCATGAGATGCCGTCCTTCATAGAATTAAATCGAATGACAGTTCTCAGGAATTCGTTTTTCAGTTGTTTTTTTCTTTGTTTTTTTGAAATAGAATTTCGCTATCTTGAACTCTTTGGTTTAGCAGTCCTCTTGCTTCAGCCTCCCAATTAGCTGGGACTGTAGGCATGTACCACCATAGATAGCTTAATGCTCAGAATTTTTAATATCCCTCTAATACAGTTTCTCTCTCCGGGGTCTGAGTGCAGCCCAGGGACTTGCTTGCGAGTTGAATGCAGAGAAAGTAACCCCCGGCTGTCGTTGTGTGTCTGTCTTTTTGGAGAGGGAAAGAGGTAGAGGTAGTCTTGTGGTTTATTCCGCAGCGCTACTTGCCCACAGGTGATTGGGATGAAACATTCCCCCTCATTTTCTCTCTAACTTCTCTCAGCTGTGGCCAGCTGACCTTCGGTCTCTGTAGATGTTACCCAAGGAGACGCGGAACGTGCTTCTGGCCCTGATCTCTCAAGAATCCGGTCACCTCTTTCTATGTGGCTTCAGGGGCAGTTCACAAAGGTAGATTGCAAGCTGTGTCAAGCCTGAGCCTAGAGCAGGGTCTGCTGGCAATTCTGCACATTCAGAAAGTGAGTCCTCCAAAGGTGCTATCTGGCTCTTGCAGCAGCAGGTGGTGGCTTCCAGGAGAAAGCCTGAGGGAGTGAACTGAAGTTATGCCTGCTTTCCCTGAAGGAAATCATACCACTGCCTTAGTGCTCTGGCTCACAGCCCCATAGGAATTAGGGGCCAACCCTACCCCTATATTTTCACCCCTATATGTTCCCTTAAGATGGGGACACTGAGACCTACAGAAGGGAGAGCATTGTGCCCATCAGGTCAGTAGTAAATGACAGTAAAAAGTAGTGGACATGAACCCAGAGAGACTCAGGTTTGCATCTCAGCCCTGCTACTTTCCTGTGGCCATGTGGGATGGGCAGTTTATTTCACCTTCTCTAAGCACCACTTTGCATATCTGGAAAATAGTGACCATGATACCTACTTTGAGGCTTATAAAGATTAGAGGAGATACAAGTAGAGCTTCTGGCACAGAACAGATCTTCTTTATGTCTCTTACTTTATGGTTCACAACACCTTTGCTTTGTGGCTACAACCCCAAAGTCTCATTACTTTACGATTTGTAGTACCTTTGCTTTGTTTCGACAACCCCAAGTAACTCCATGGATCTTGTGCCTTTTCTTGAGGAATAATCTACCTACAGTGAAACGCACCGATCTTAAATGTCGAATTTAATGAGCTTTGACAAATATATACATGCACAAAATAATCAGCACCTTCATCAAGATGTGGGCCCATGTGGATCAGAAGCACGTTCCTAGTCCCCTTGCCTAATAGCCCCCATGAGGGCTCCCTCATGCTCCTTCTTCATCCCTAGCCCACAGGCGACTGCTGTTGTGACTTCTGCTGCTGTGGACTATTTAGGCTTGTTCCATAGATGCAAGTTGGCTCATCAGTACGTGGGCTTTTGTGTTGGGCTTTTTTCCTTCAATGCAGCACTTTTCGTATACACTCTTCTTTTGTGCAGGCTGGTAGTGTGTTCCTTTTTTATTGCATTGTGTTGTTCCTTTGTTTGAATGTGTCACAGCTAGTCTATTGGTAATAGAAAATGGGGTGATTTCCTATTTTGCCCAGTATGGATAAAGCTACTAGGAATGCTTGTACACAAGTCTATGTGTATATCACTTTTGTTTCTCTTCATTGTATGTCCCAACAAGTAAGACTGTTGGAGCAAGTGGTAAGAATATGTTTTAACTTTATTAGAAACTACCAAGTTTTTGAAGTGACCTTTCCCTGTGTTTTTTGAAATTAAGATGCGAAATGAATTCACTTTTAGGTAACGCCTGTTTGTATTCAGCTTGACCATCAACCAGTAGAAACAAAATTATGGTATTCACTCAAAGGCTTCTCCAGACAACATACTCCAATTGTGACTGGGCTAGAATGATTCTGAAAGAACATTTTGGAAAGGGTCCTCTGCTCACTGCCAGATTGTTCCTATCTTAACTTGTTAACTTAGTGGAACCATAAACTACTTTGTGCTAGATCCTGGGATAAAGACGTGAGTAAGCTAGTGAGGGAGACAGTCTATTCAGCTCTAGTCATTTTCATTTTCATTTTCATCACAACAATGAAGAGATTAAAATATACCTTTGAGACATAAGTGAGATCGGGTAGCCAAAGATAAAGAAACTTCTAGACAGGCTACTTCTCTGGTAAAGTAAGCCCACGATGTTCCCTGAGCAGTGATTAGACTTTCTTTTTTCTTTCTCTTTTTTAGATCATTTATTTATTTATTTATTTATTTATCTCATAGTGTCTCGCTACACAGCTTGGACTTGTAGTGATCCTCCAGTCTCAGCCTCCCCAGAGCTGGGATTATAGGCATGTGTCACCATGCCCAGTTTTATTTTTTTAAGCATGTATATATCTATTTATTATAAAAGATGACCTAAGCAGTAAGTTCCACAATACCTGAATTTCAACCAGGAGGAGTTTCTATTTCTTTCTTTCCACAGCCTAATAAATCTGGAAATTCATAGCTAAAATGAGAAAACTTCCATCCAGTGGTTTTCATTCATAGTAGAATAAAACAAGGGTCTTTACACACCTACATGAGTCTTAGTGAATGGTGATAAAATCTCCATGAGACTCTAAGGTTCTTGAATGAATATTTGTTGGTGAGTATTCTGGGAGCCTTCGAAAGGTTTCTGATTGATTTGATGAATCTGTGTTAATTTTTGGAACAATTTCTTCAGTGCCATGAGATATGGCTAAAGTCTGCATTTAACCATGTGGCTAAAGAGAAGGATGCTAGAAATGTCCAGGAAAGTCATTTCAGTGATTCTTGGCCCAGCCTTTATTCCTAAAACAAGTTTCCTGAAATCCGCTAGAAGCATAGCACAAAACATGCAGTGAACAAGATAGGGCTGAAAGAGATGGTCTCCTCCTCAAAAATTAACTCCTAGAAGGGTACCATGCCCAATTTTAGTGGCTGGCTCAGTGCGGGGCTCGCACATGCAGTACTAGGGATTGAACCCAGGTCCTTGCACTTGCCAGGCAGGCATTTAGACTGCCAAGCTATATCCCTGGCCTGATTAGACTTTCTTGAGTGCCAAAGGTGTGCAAGGTCTTGGGCTGGATATAAATAGATAGCCAGTGACCTCAAGGAACTCACAAGGTAGGAAATATTGGTGCAACAGAAGGAATCCAACTTTAAGGCAGCTCTTTAAACAGCTCTTGAGCATCTACTCAATTCCAGGGTACTGTTCTAGATACAGAGGACTTGATGGTGAAGAGAATGACAACTGTACAATCTTTCAGGAGCTTTCTACTACTGTTCCTACAATGTGTGATCATAAAATAGTTTTGAGGAAATCTGTATTTGGCTTGCTACATGTCTGCATGGAGGTCTTAAGGCTGATGTTGTTCGTAATGGCTAATTTCTAAGATAATTCGAATAGGTGCAGGGCACCATCTTACACAGACTGGAGCCTCAGGAGGACTGGGAGAATTGGATGTGCTTTATTCTTTTGCATGAATGTGGTCAAGATGGAAAGCAAAACCTAGCATGCAAGTTGAAGTTGTCGGGCTTCCATCAGCCTGCCTAGTCAAGCTCTCCAGGCTGTCCGTTCCCACAGGGAGTTCTGGGCTGAGCCTGGCTCACTCATTTGGGAGGGAGGCACTTTTCCAGATGGCAAGTTACTCTCCTGTTTAGCCTCAGTGTGCTCTCACTCCCCCTCTCCTTTGCTTTTCTAATCATGCAGCCTGATAATTCTCATCTGTACAGAAAGGCCGCTTTCAGCACTTTGTACAACTTTGTCATGTTGTTCCCTGAACACTGATTAGACTGGGTTCATCTGCTGGCCCACGGCCCATCCCAGAGCTGTTGTTGACCTTCAGAAACTGCGTGGCTCCTTGGGGCTTTGCTGAGAACCTGTACTGGGTAGGAGCAAGCTTTTCACCCTCAAGAATGCTGCTTATATCTCGCTGATTGCTTTACACTGTAAAAGATCTGATGCTCTGCATTCCCAAAGTACCATTTAAGTTGAAATCTGGAAATAGGCTAAAAGTAGTGTTTTGATTGCAGGCAGGTGGCTGAATACTCACGGGCATAAAGATGAAACATGTCGTCAATTTTAATAAATGTTTGGCCACCCTAAAAAAGCCAAATTAGAGCCAACCCCCTTTGTAAAATAATGCAAGTGACGTTTTGCTTTCTGTTTACAGCTCCCATCTGTGTCATTCTCTCACAATGGAAGGAATGAAGAAGACTGATGCCCAACGGCCCGCAAGTAGGCAGAAGCCTATTAAGACTGAGTGGAGTTCCCGAAGTGTTGTCTTCACCTACTTCCAGGGGGACATCAGCAGTGAAGTAGATGAGCACTTCTCCAGAGCTCTGCGGAATGTGAAGAGGCCCAAGGAGTTGAGCCCCTCAAGCCAGAGCCACAGCCACAGCCAGAGCCAAAGCCAGAGCCACAGCCAGAGCCAGAGCCAGAGCCAGAGCCAGAGCCAGAGCCAGAGCCAGAGCCACAGCCCGAGCCATAGCCCAAGCCACAGCCAGAGTGAAGAAGTGATCCTAAAGAATGGTGAGCATGTTGGGAGGGCTGAGGCTGGAATTCTCTAGCAAGGCTTTGGCTACAAATCTGTTTTGGGGAGCACTCAATGCATTCTCACCTGTGCAGATTTGCTAAAGGCAAGTCACAGTACCCAGGGAGAAGCCATAGACCTCTTTAGAAGTTAATGTAAAAATGCATGCTTCCAGAAAAGTAGTTTATCTGGCTCATACTGGGCTCAATCATGTTAAACCCTGGGTTCACTCTTCAGCACAATAAGAGCTCAACAACTTCCTTTACTATGATCATCATTATCAGCATTGTTATTATTCACTATTAGCCTGAGAGCAGGCATAGCGAAGGATCCATGACAAGATAAATTATGTCTCACTTGGGCTCCCAGACTCCCCTCAGCCAACAAAGGATGATCTGGTGAGTGAGGGCAGGGGCCAGGAGCCAGATGAAGACTGTTACCACAGCCCTCTCCTACTCTTCACAGAGTCGGGTCTGTTCGTTGCTCAATACGTGCACCCAGCTTTGGGGGAAGACACATTAAGCTGGCAGAGGCTGCAGTATGACTTTCGTAGGCCTTAGATATTTTTGCATTCATGGGTCACCTTTTTGTAGAAAGATATTAAAAGTTATGTTTTAAAGCTGCATTGATATAAAGATGAATTAAATCCAGGCTGTATTCACTTGCAATACATGGGGTATCATTATCATACTCATGGTTTTCTTTTCATTTTAAAACAAGTGACAGTGTTTTCATGGGCCCTTTGAAGTATTCAGGAATCCTAGACACTGTGCCTAAAAGACTCACTCATGCTGTGGGTGTGAATCAGTATGACAACTTGTTAGCTTTCTTGAAATGTGTGAATATGTCAAGGTCTGGTTGGATTTAAGAGCCGTTTATTGCTGGTGTCAAGACTACATGTTGAACTCCACTAGGGGGGCCTCGGCCTATGGGTGAAGAGCTCACCTTTTTCCAGTTGCTCTGGTTTGTGCTTTGCTTTTTGAGCCTGAAAAGGCATTAGAGTGAAGCTGGTGTACTCATATCTGTAGGCTTCCTTCCTTCCTGGAAATTACTTTTATAGCCAACTGATGGGGTTTTCTTGAAGAATCACATGGTTTAAGTAAACCTGTGGAAAGGCACATGAGGTGAGGTGTGTCTAGCTACCTGGTAGTAGACTCTAGAGGAAGCAGTGTGGAGCCCAAGGTTGTGGGTCCCATCTGCAGATGGTAGAGTCCAAGCAGTGCAGGGCATTACATGACAAGATGCTAGGAATAAATGCATGAAGCCACTAATCTTTCTCCCTCTTCTCATAAAACCATCAATGATCATAGTGTCTCATAGTAGGGAATAAATTTGAACGTGAGTTTCAGAAGGGACAAAGCCCTGACAGACCACAGCATGAGATCACCTAGTTTAGAACAAGGCAGCCTACTGCTAGACCGGCCTCACTACTTTCTAACAGTAGGATTTCAAGGCATATCACGTTGTGTGCCTATACCTCAGTTTCCTTACTACTAAATCTGAGTGTTATTTAATTACAGGAGGATGCTTTGGAGGAGGCAATGTGATAATCCACGTCAAGTGGCACTTAGTAGGTGTGATGCAGGTGCTAGCAACTTTTGTGGGGGTGGTGCTTGAAGTTGACATGTTTTTGAATGACTGAGATGGATATGATGGCCTCTCCCAAAAGGCTCTACATTTTCAGTGGGTCCTGCTGTGTGGCTGTTGTCACGTTTTCTGTGCTTTCTGACTTTCGGGAAGCCCCTGCCTGCTAAGGAATCTTGCCTGAGTCAGCCTTCGCAAGCCCAATGGGGAGTGGCTTTTTTCTTTACTTGTTTTCTTCACTGTTACCTTTTCCCACAAATGTCTTCACTTTGAAGATTTCTCCCTCAAAGAACTTAGGCAAACGTTTGGCAGCCGGTTGAGTAACTGAAGGGAATGCCGTATCCCTCAAGGCCTCTCTTATCACTGTGAGGACTCAAGTTTCTCCTAAACTGTTCTGCCTCTGGGGAGGACTCCATGAAAAGTATTCAGTCCTACCAGGATTCTCACAGGACGTGTCATAGGAGATATGTGAGGTTTTGAAAATGATGGCAAATCTATAAAGTGGCCTTTCATTACTGTTAGTTACTAACAGTTTATTAGTTATTTCATTAGTCTTAACTTCTGCTAGCCAGCACCAGGCCACCTATCTTTGGCTAAGCTGGGCTGAGGAGAACAGGCCCCTATTGACCCTCTGTCATCAAAGGCTTGTCCATATTCTGAAAGGTACTCTGTTAAGCCAGATATGTAAATCTTAAACACAGAGAGCTGTGTGTCTAGGAAATACCACTGACTTTCCTAGCTTTTTTTCCTCCTAAATCAAAGTTATTTTTTATTTACTTATATATAATTTACACTGGCTGTACTTCAGGAAACAAAACAAAAATTGAAAATATCTTTTCATTATCCCCCTTTCAAAAGCCTTTGAGGATTTCAGAGTCAGTATCTGGGGAAGCTTTAATATGTGAAGTTGCGGGGTGGGGTGTTGCTTTACATCTCAGCCCAGAGTCTGCCTGTCCCCACGGCAGGCCTAGTTGAGTGCAAGCTCAGGTCTCATACCAGGCTCAGGGGTTGCTGAGAGAAGATAAGAGGCTGTGTCCCTGAGCAGCTGAGTAGAGGTCTTCCTGATCCAATCCCAGAGTCCCACCTCCTTCTCTGTCTCCATTCACTGCGTTTAGCAGCAGTAAGGAAGAAATGCTGCTTTCTCTTTTAGATGAATCCCTGTGTGTATTTCAGTCAAACTGGTTGTGTGGAGCCTTTGAGAGTCCTCACAACTGTGTGCCTTCCTTTCTGGGAAGAGACAGGGATGTGTGCAAATGTACTGAGCCTACCAGGCAGTACATTAAAATGATGCCATTCTTTTGAGTCCTCAAAACCTGCTAAGCTCTGTAGTTCAGACAAGCAAGTCAAATCTATGGTGTTAGAAGATAGGTTACCTTTGGGGAGATTGGTGGCTTGAAAGGCATCCAAAGAGTCTTCCAAGGTGGTAACTACATAGCCTGGGTGCTTGTTATTCAGTTTGTGAGGATTCCCTCCACTGCATGCATTTTGGTACATTTTTCTTATTTTTTTTGTACTTCACAAAAACAGCTTGCACTATCTATTGCTATCCTGTTTACAGAGGAGAAAACTACAACCCCTCAGGGATCCATGTTTAGAGAAGTGTTACACAGTGTGTGATAGCGTTTGAAACCCAGGTTTGTCAGACTCCAGTGCCAATCTGTCCTGACCTTTGAAGACCTTGGCAGTATCCAGCAAGTAGATTAATACATAGAAGGACTAGAGCTAATGATGTTGGGAGTGGCCAACATTTGCTGTGTCTCTCCTGTGTGTTGTCTCCTTGTTAGCGGCTCTCATATGGATTGTCTCCCTGAATCTTCACACCAACCTACACACCTATTTCTGGTGGTGAAACCGAGGCTTAGATTGAAGTGACTTGTGGGAGACACCACAACTAGTAAGAGGTGGCTATTGTGTTTGCCACCAAATAGCTTTAATATATAATGAAAATTATCCCCCTAAATGTTAGGTTCATCTGCCAGCTTTCCAGCCATAGTAGCACACAAATGTGCCCAGTTAGCTATGTATCTGAATTCTTTGTAATATTGGGAAGGAGAAACCAGTAAGAGCATGAGCTCTGGAGTCAGATACACTACTACCTACTGTGCAGGCCTGGACAGATTGCTTGAGCCACTCTGAGTATTTTCTTATCTGGCTTGCTAAGATGACCAAAATAGCTCATATATTATTATTATTATTATTATTATTATTATTATTATTATACTATTAATAATGTAGTTCTATATTATTATGTATTATATTATCATATATCACATCAGCTTTCTGAGGCTGTCAACAAAATAGCTGGCACCCCCAGTTTAAAGGAGAATATGTTTATTTTGACTCCAAGAGGTAACTAAGGAAGGGCACTTGGGTACAAATGTCACCAGAGCCACTTCTGCTAGCAGCAACAGCATTGTGTCAAACCAGGCCATGTTTTAAGATGCCTTTCACAGTCCACAGGGTAGATAGGCATGGTTATTGGAACAGCTGGCTCAAGAAGTCCAAGAATAAAAAGCCCACCTATTCAAAATGAAATAATAGGGGCTGGGGAGATAGCTCAGTTGAATAAGCACTTCCCTGGCAAGCTCAAGGGCCTGAGTTCAAGCCCTGGCTCCACAAAAAAAGAAAACAAAATGAAATAATAAGGGCTGGCCAAATAGCTCAGCAGATTAAAGGGCCTGCAAACAGGTGCAGAGGCTGGGGGTTCAATACCCAGGCCTGCTGTGCTGGCCTTGCCCCTGGGGCTTGCTGAGACAGCAATTGAGACTGGGCATGGTGGCACGCACCTCTAATCCCAGCTCTTGGGAGGCTGTAAACAGGCAGATCACTATGAGTTCGATCTAGTAGTGAGATCCTGAGCACCCTGTAGACCATTCCCTAAAATACAAAAAGAAAAGAAAAGAAAGAATAAAATTAAACTTAATAAAATAAAGAAAAGCTCACCCATGTGTAGGGTCCCCATTCCATGGGCCACCAACATCTGAGCCTGAGCTGGAAAAGCGTGTTTCCCCAGTTCCCCCATAGCCACTGGGTTGCTGTTAACCCACAGTGAAGGCACCCAGTATGTCTCCTCAAGCTTCCATCCAGTCTGCATTCTAGTGCACATGAACAGTGCCACTCCACCTACACCCCTTAACATTTCAGTCACAGAAATCTGCAAGGAAAGCAGTTAACAGAAATATTCAACACTGCCCCCTCAGAGCCCTGCTTTCCATGCAAAGCATTCAGCAAGCACCTTGGTCGTGTGTATGAGGTCAGGAAGGCCAGTCTAGGTAGAAACTGCCCAGTTGTCAGAGGCTACGCTATGTTTCTAATTACGCTTAGAACACACAAGTATCTCCATGTAATATGAACCACTGACAGTGACTCTGTGCAGTGTAGTCACTCCACTCATACCACTGTTCCAAAGATAATCTTTCAAGCCAGCATCCACCCTTTGGACACATGCTAATATTCCCTCGCCGTGGTTTCACACGAAGAGGCCACTTGCCTCTTAGCACGTGCTGTAAGATCAAGAGCAGAAGATCTGTGCCACATGGGCTTGGGCTCCTTAGGTTCTGATCACCTGTGCTACATAGGAAGCGGTGGGGGCAGGTAGAGGCTCTCTGGCAGTGTTGTGCCGGCCTCGCAGATGTCTTTATCTTGTACAAAATCCAGTCAAACTGAACAGTCATGAGAGCTGGAAGAAGTGTTTGTGGAGGGAAAGGGGGTGAGTGTCTCAGAAAAACTCTCCCTCTCAGACATCTTTTTTGGCTGTCCCCATCCATGCCGCCTCCCCCATGTCTTGGCTAGAGTCTGAACTGCATAATGAGACCCTGTATCCAGTACATAAATAAATAAATAAATAAATAAATAAATAAATAAATAAAGCATTCATCAACCGGGAAACAATGAGCTATTTCCATGTGCCAAATGATAAGTAAACACCTAACATGTCTTCTAAATCTTTCCTTCCCAGATGGTGACATGGCTCCCGATCACTGGAGAGTCTCTTCTCCCTGGACAAGGCCACAGCCAGAAACACCCCTTGCAACTCCTGCCACCACGAGCAGATTGAGTGTGTGTGATCCCATTCCTGTGGAGCACTACCCACTGGCTCTGCCGGAGCCCCCCAGTGCTCAGCCTAGGGAGCTATGGCACTTCCCCCCTCTAGCAAGCCCCAGCTCCCCAGAGCCTGGCTGCGCTCAAGTATTTCCTGGTGGGCACCTGATTCCAGGGTCTCACCCACCCAGGAAATGTGAGCCTTTCCTAGGTTTCTTCCAGCAGGAGAGATGCCTAACTTGTCCTCAGGAATCTGCCATGAGCGAAGAGTACAACCATGTCCAGATTCCCGGAAGCGCAGGACTATTCTTCAATATGCCTCCTAGCTCAGTCAACTATAAGGAGATGCTTACAGATACCTGGAAGACTGCCCCTGACTGGCCGTGGTTGAGTGAGTTGGCATGACATGGGGTGCTAAGACTAATAGCTGCCACCGTGGACATGGGGCTGCTGCTGCTGAAGCATGGAATGTTTCGCATAAACATCTATACATCTTCCCTAGGCTGTACTGACATTCACAGTTTAGTAACTAAACACTTACATAGACAGGCAGCCAAAGGGCCTTGGCTCAAGATACGCACTGAGTCTTTTAGACTTGGCTTTCCTTAGAAAAGTGATGTGTGACTTCCTAAAATCATAGGCCTCACATTTGCCTCCCTGGGAGTCACTAAATAATCTATTTGCAAAACAGAGGCCTGTGACGTACCTAGAGGCTCAAACTCTATTCTCTAAACAGGTTGACAACTTGCAATGATGCCAGGCTCCTGGGCAAAAACAAGGGCAATCTATACCAACCATCTGCTCCACACATTAAAATTCATAACGACTGGAGAGACAGCCCCATCGCTGCCTGGAGATGTAACAGTGCCTGGCTGCCTGTGCACCACGTCCCTCCTGCTTGGCTTCCTTGGGTCTCCTGTGCTCGGACAGCCACCTTTCCCCCTGAACTAAAAACACCCTTATGGCTCACTCATTCTTTCATTCACATATTCACCCAACAGCTATTTAGTTAGAGCCTTCTCTATGCAAAATACCAATGAGCAAACAGAACTACCTTCTTTGTAAGAGGATGGGGAATATTTGGCTTGAACTATATGTTTACCAAAAAGCAATCTACTCTGCTGTAAGATGTACCTTTCATGTGAAATATTTGTTAAAAATATCATTGTTTCTTAGAGCCAAGCCTATATCTTCTGTAATATTCTGTACTTTGGATGAACTTTCAGTTGAAACTCCCTATTCTATATATATCTGTGACCCAAGGTCTGAAAGAAATTATTGGAAGCTGTCTACTGTGAACTAAGCAAAAAGGACCTGTTTGGCACAGCCTGCCTAAGGCCCGCACTGTTTTCCATCTGAATTCTAAAAACAAATTTCCTGCTAAAACACGTAATTCCAGAGTTTGACTTGCAATGTTTGCAGACAGTAGATCACAAAAAATGGCATGTTTGGGAAATCTGAAGTTCCCACCCTGTAACTTTTTCAAAAATTTTCTCCTACTGGATTTAGAAGGAAGATTAGAACAACTGTGTTTGTATATATCGTGTACATACACACAGAAGAGCCCTTTCAACAGTTGGTTACGACACAGATGGCTCAACTCATCATCTGCCAAACATAACAATGCTTCACAGTCAAATCCAGTTCAGCAAATATTTAGTGAGCAGCTACAATACTCAGGCACATCATGACAAAATTTCTGAAACCTCCCAACTTGACTTGCATTCACAAATAAATGTTTATCACTACTCTTAACTGCTGTGAGCTCTTCACACCCTCTTACCAATGACGGCATCACTCCCATCCATTGGTGGCTAGTCTAGGATCCGGACAGGAGGTCAGCATCTCTTAATCAGGACTACTGCCTAGAAGATGAGAAGTTCCAAGGAGCCTTCACAAAAGTTCCTGGGCTTTAGCATCTGATAAGAGAAGCTATGTCAGATTCCATAAACAGAGGGACAGGCAGTCTGGGACCCTGGGGGTGCTTCTGGATACTTTCTAGCCCAGCCACAGAGATTTCAATTTGTGTCATCTTTTCTTTTTCTTTTCCAGGTAAAAAACTCTATGTCTCCCCAAGTCATGGATCTGTCAGTCCCAGCCTACCAAATGAAAGTAGGTATTTGTGGTTTTGTTGGATTGTTTGAGAACAGGCTCTTGCTGCACAATTTGGGCTGGCCTTAAACTCACCTTGTAGCGCAGGTTGGCCTTAAACTCATGGTGATCCTCCTGCCTCAACCTCCTGAGTGCTGGGATTACAGCATGCACCACCTTGTCTGACTAGGGATCTGTTTTAGCCTTCGATATTGTGATTCTGTATCCAAAAAAGTAACTTGGGTAGTTTGTAGTGTATAAACCAGGCTCTCCAGAAGCTGATGGGACGTTTTATTTCTATTATTTTGTATTTTCATGGATAGAATTGGTTTCATCTTGGTTTCAAAAAACCCATGTACTCCATGTCTTATAAAATTTCTTACAGTATTTCTCATTTTGCTAGGGAAGCCATTTCTACTGTATTTTAAAATTTAAGCCCAACTTCCTTATTAAAGTAACTCAAATGACTTAGAAAGATGAACAAAACTGTGAAGATGAGCTTGTTCAATCCAAGATGTTCACTTTTCAGCCTAGCACCTAAGGCTACCCCAGGACTCTGCAGTCATAGAAAGTGAGACTGAAGCCCAAACCTTGGGATTTTACACTCAGTTTGAAAGAGGTGGCAGGAGGAGCTTTAAAGTGAAGGCACTCAGGGTAGAATGGGAAGAAGACCTTCATGGCTTAAGTTTAAGATCCAAATCCCAGCTTTATCACTTACTGGCCTTGGGAACTTGGTTCCATTCTTAACCTCTCTGTACCTTACTTGCCTTTTGTAGAATAAGCATAAAATAGTAACCACTTGAAAGGGTGTCTCTGAGCATTGGGTGCAATAAGGTATGCAAATATTAGAATAATGTCTGGCACATAGTAAGCTATAAAAACAGATAAATCTTTTTGCAGAGAATCATTTGTGCCTCAAACTGTGTATTAGAGAAGATCAAAAGGAAAAATTACCACCATAGTCCTTGATAGCCGATATGTTACAGTCCAGTGTGAAGATGGGATGAGGCTGTCGTGTAGATACACTATCCAAATATCAGTTCCATGAAGGCTGAGATTTGAGGGATGTATTGCCATACCTAATAGCTGCAACAAAGCCTAGCATAGAGGGCAGTATAAGAACGTCTCAAAAGGAAATAGCAAGGAAATGTCTGGCGATATAATAAAGATTATTCCGCTTAAGATCTTTTTGTAAGACAAGCCAACCAAACTTGGAGATCAAATAAGAGGACAGAGAAATTTCTACTGGTTGTGACACAGATAGACAGAGTGGGCTGAGTTAAAGAGTGAATGGGAGATCAGAAAATGGAGTCATTAATTTCTAGCAGCTTCCCAGAGAAATTTAACATTAAATTAGTGAAGAAAAGTGAGTTGATAGCTAAGAATTCTAGTGGGATTCGAGAAAGCTTTGTTTTAAAAATGGCAAATATCACAAATTTGAATGATAATGGGAACATTCCAATAAAGGCAGAGAGACTGATAGTATAGGAGGACAGGGATGACTTTATGAGTAATTCATAGGAAGAGGAGCTGTTCTGCCATTGAAAGTGTGCAAAGCAAAGCAGATAATGAGAGAAACAAATAGATTTGTGGGCTTGCTTGTGTAATGGCTGCAGTGTAGTAACCTAATGATTTCTATTTTCTCAATCAGCTATAGAGGCAAGACTGGGTGTGGTGGTATGCACCTGTAATCCCAGCTCTTGGGAGGCTGTAAACAGGTGGATCACTGCAAGTAGAATCTAGCAATAAGACCCTGAACACCCTATAGACCCTTCCCTAAAAATACAAAAATAAAAAAACTATTAAAGGTAGGCTCATCAGCTGCGAGTGAGCATGTGGAATGTTGGAAGGGAGTAGGAAAGTATAAAAAGTCTTTGGGGACATTGGGACAGCAAGACTGCTACTAGAAAAATAGAAGCAGAATTTCTGAATGTTTGCCTGACAGCTGAGATCATGTGTTTCAAGCAGGGAGAGCCAGCTGTTGTGGGATTTTCACCAGTGACATTAGGTTCACATAAAATGCATAGAAGGCAATGCATCCCTCATCCAAGGATGAGGTTGTGGCAAGTAATCATGACACATAAAGAACAAGGGCAGGGAATAGAGGATATTTGAAAGTGAGTTTTAACAAAAGACTGTGGTATCCAAGCTGCATAAAGAAGGAAGTGGATGCAAATGCAAGTTACCTGGCTAGTGGAGGTCAATGGCTTAGAGGCTGCATAAAAATACAGCAATAAAACTGCATAAACCAGTGAAATGAGAGAAAGGATGTTAAAGTTGGGACTGTTAGGGTTTCATATTTGTGGGCCTTGACAAATTCTAAGGCGTGACCTCAGGAATGGTTGGTTCAGGTAAAGTACAAGCTCACTAGAGATAATGAGAATGACAAAGATCATGGAAGTGAAGCAAAAGAACAATTAGTCATGGTGTAGCTCAGTGATAGAGTTCTTCCCTAGCATGCACGAGATCCCCAGCCCTCATGCTCAAAAAAGAAAGAAAGAAAGAAAGAAAGCAACAAAAAACCTAGTAGCTACCCACAATGCAGATTCTGTATTTATCCTCATGGATAGATGGGGATATTGAGGTTTTAGGGAAGTTAATTAGCTGGCCCAAAAACAAAGGGAATGTCAGTGTGTTGTTGACTAAGCTAAAGTGTAGCTTGACCACACAAAAATTCAAACCTACCACATGTAACAACGCTGCCTTTTTAAATAATAGTGAACATTTATTGGACAGATATGTGCCAGCTACTCTCCTAGGAGCTTAATATACATTTAACTCAACCCTAACTAGACTTTGGAAGGTAGCTGTTATGAAGAAAGCATGTCATTAGTGTGGAGAATTAGGTAGACTACCTAAGTGGCCGAAGATCAGACAGCTAGCAGTAGTGAATTCCAGACTCAAACTCAGGCTGATTTGACCCCAGATCTAGTTTATTCGTCATGCTTATGTTGATTTACAGGAAACCAGTCTCCAGAGAGAAGAAAAAAAAACTGTTCTTTTATTAACTTTGGTGTGATGAAGAGAATTATTTTTTCTAAACCTTCACATATTTTTTTTTTACTCTGAATCCAAGGGTTTCTTCTCTATCTTCCATTTCTTCTATTAAAGAACATAAAATCCAGTGAATCAGAAACAAATGTATGCTCTCCCTAAAATTGTGTATTTTTCTTCGGCCACTATGTCCTGTGCCAAAGTTTCTCAAACTTGTTACATGAATTCCAAGTGCATAATATATTTAAAAGAGTTCTGCTGGAGTGGAGAGCATTTGTCCTACTCACTCACTATGCATACTGGCTTCTTACTGAATAGTCATAGTCCCTAACACTGCCTAGCAGCATCCTCTGAGGCAAGACTATGCACACATTTTATGGAGTGTCCCATTTTCCTATTTGAATCAAAGTGTCCACAATAGTCTAGAGTTTTCTAGTCTTAATTGGCCCATGGCCAACTCCACTCCTGCCTCTACCAAAAGCAAAATGAAAATGGAGTAGGCAAGACCTACCAAGAATGGGCTGAGGCTGCTGCGTCCCTGAGTATCCCAAATCTGGAAGGAAGTGGGAAGTTATCAGGCTGAACCTGATAGATGAAATAGGTTCACTTGAAATATTTGGTTCCTCAATTCAAACAAATAAGTTGTTGAGAAATTTGCCAAATTGCTTATTGGAAACTGAGCAGAGAGCCCCATCCCAAGTAGGCCTATTGCTGGAGCAGAACTTATTCTGTATCCACAGCACTTCCATCTCTGCTTGCTCTCCTGATGGGGACTCAGGCACCTGACAGCGTTTCTTTGGAAGCTGGTAGAGTATGGCACACACACCCCAAAGGGGCCCACCTGGCTTTCACAAGGAGCGTAACTTCTTCTTATCTCATTGGGCATTAGTGACAACTGTAAATACTCACTTTCTTTTCAGCATTGAACTACTGGGGCCACCCAAGTGGATACCTGCCACATTTTCAGTCGAGTTGGAGGAGCAAGGCAACGGTTGGCACAAGATATGTCAGTGAGACGTCCACGAAGATCGCTCCAGATCAAATGGCAACCTCTCCAGCTCACCCATCTTCCCATGCTCACCCATCTCCCGATTCTGATAAAGAGCCTTGTATCTAGCGGGAGTTGGGCAGTTGCCCCATGACAATCCTGGAAGCAGCTGTTGTCAGTGTGCATTTTCAGATTCCCCTTGCTCTTGCATGATAGCACAGAGGGTGAATCGTAATATAGCTAAATTCTTTCAGATGGTGCTATTCTGAATTGTATTTCTTTTTGCATTGTCCATCTCATTTAAACCTTTCAATTACCCTGAGATTGCTCTTATTATATCCCTTAATATATATGAATATTGAGGCTCAGAGAAGGTAAATGACCTTCCTCAAATCACATAATAATAGAGCCAGTGCTGAAACCCAGGCCTCTACTCAGTCCTGTACTCTCTCACAATACTTATCAAGGATTAATAGCAGGATGCCTCTTAGATGCTTTTCCTTCTCATGTGCTATGTAAATGAGAACAGAAATCTTGCATGAGGAGATCAGTGACCTTTGGCAAGAGTACAGCAATTCTTCTGTCTCAAGAATGGCTTTGCCTGTGTGCTGCACATATCTCCTAGATTTAGCAAGAGGAAAAAAGACTCAGCCAATAGATTTTTCCCTTACAGTCGTGTACCTCCAAAGCCTTGTTCTTTTTTTAGGAAATGGTTGGAAATCTGGTTCTAGCAATCGCAACTACACAGTGTGTATTTAGCTTGGCTCATTCCAGAAAGATTCATCTGTGTTACAGAATAACATGTAGCATAAGAAAAACTTTAATATGCTGTTTATGGAAAAGAAGAAAGGATTCCAATAGAGCAGGCATCCTGGGTAGCCTGGGAGATCTGACAACATTTCCTTCCAAACCCTTAGCAGCTTGTGCTTCAATAAATCTTAAAGTAGTAATCAACATTACTACTTTAATAATGAAGGGGAAAAGAACTCCAATCACTAATAGATCTGCACTCCTCTGACATATACGGGTAGATCCCTGTCTAGATCAACTGCTACTTAATCCCAGCCTTTGGATTTTCGCTATCCACCTTGTTCTCCCTTCTCTATCTTACCTCCAAAGATGTGAGTTAAAAAAGATATTTGACTTGCTTTGTCATTTTGCATTAAAATAAAAGAATAATCTCCATCCTACTCGTGTCCTCCAAAATATATATCCCTTCCTTGACACAAAAGGCCCCTGTGTGTTGTCTCTGTCTGCATCTAAACTATAGTTGATGATCTTGTCAGATGCTAGTTGAGTGAAATGTAGAAGATGATATTTTCTCCACCGGATTGATCAAGGTCTTGAAAATGTGGGAAGTCAAGCTCTGATAGAGCTAGAGCCAGGAAACCTCATTCACTTCTTTGTCTACAGTTTTGAGCAATGACCAAGTGGCTCTGCCTCCTCCTCTTCTGCCATGGTCCTCACCCTCCAATTCCAAATACATCCATGCTTGAACTTTGCAATCTAGAAGAAGTGAAATTGCTTCAGTTGAGCTGGAAACTCTCATGTAATTTAATGATGCCTGTCTCTGAAAAATATAAAAGATGACAATTCCCTTTGCTAGGTAACAAAGAGTATCTTAAAACAATTTAAATATTATTTACAGCTACAATTGAGGCTGATGTTTAAGTGAATTTCTGTTCATTCTAAAAATCAACACCATGATTAACATTGAAAATGAAATCCACTTTCCACAACAATGTTAATTAAAATGTTATTTTCCCCTGCAAACAATAAATGGTGGCCTTTTCCCTGTTATTTGCCAGCTTAACATAATTAATTAAAAATAATTTTGCAAGCCATTTGTATTTTCAGAATGCAAAGTAATAATGCAATGATTCATTTCAATTATCTTAATGGATAAGATTTTAAAATACCATATTACTCTGAATTTTTGTAGCTTAGTGGTGATTATAGAAATAAACTAGATATAGCATTTTCACAAGGATTGCCATATTATTGTTATTTCTTTGTAGTTGTATAAATGAAGCCTCAAATACCTGCCAAAAGATGCATTTGGTTATTGTATTCTCCCTTCTAATAATTTTGCATGTTTAGGATCAAGTTAGCCTATTGGTAGCAATTATGGTTTATTTTTTAGCTGAAAACTCTGACTTTTGACTTCTTTGTACAAGTGGGAGCCATTTCTTAATACAACTGAAAACCTGCAACAAAAGTTAAGTCACTTGAGGTCTGGTCCTGGCTCTGCCTCTACCCAGCTGTGCCATTGGGAATCAGACTCTCTCCCACCCCAGCCCTACCTCCTCCTTAGGCCTAAGGTTTTTTTTCTGTGTAAAATGAGATGATCCCTGTGACTAATTCTAGTTCTGAAAGCTTGAATTTTGAAATAAATGTGGCAGCTAGGTATGGGTCCCATCAGCAGTGACTGTAGTGGATCTCACAGAAGAAAAAAATGGTGTGGGTGTAAGGACCAGAGAACCTGGTCATCATGGATGGGGCTGTCAGAACACGCTTCAAGAGAGAATTTTCCATCCAGCTGCAAGTAATATGGTTGAGTGCCTGGACCAGTTAACATGTCTTACGATTCTTTTCCATCATGCCACTAGTGAGCCCAAGCTAGCGCTTGAGCACGATAAGAATTCTAAGGCCTGAGCATTTCTGCCTAATGCAGTACTCGTCTGCTGCAAAATATTTGTTCCAAAACTCCTGTTGAGGTGGCTCTGTCAGATCTGCATCATGAGCTGATTTTATTCCTGCTCCATCCTGCTTCCAAATACCTTTTCTCTTTCACAGGTGTTACCCAGCAAGCCCCCATACATCTCTCACATTCCTAACTCCTTGGTACCTGCTTCCTAGAGGGCCCATCGGACACAAACATAGCAGAATTTTAAGAGCAAATACAGAGAAATCCTATAAATAGACAGGAAATGATTAGGCTAGTCTGGCTAGAGTGGAGCTTTTGAGTTGATGAGCAGTTGAAAATCAAGGTGGAAAATGAGATTAGGCATGGATTGATGAAGTTGAACAGCACTGTCGCTTGAGAGGTTGAGGCTGTTGTCAGATTGGAGCCCCAGCCACATCTTTAATCAACTTCCTAGAGACCATCCTCCTAGCCAGCAAGAGACTGTCTACATAACAGGAAATGACTGCTTTCACAGACCTATGTTATTTACATGCAAGTTCCTCAAGTCCTTACTGGATGGAGCTTGTTGAAAATAAGTACGCCTCAGCTCTTCCCTAGACTACTGAATTGGTGTCTCTGAGGATAAGAAGTACCTCCCAACACAGGCACAACAGTGCCATTAGTCTCATGGTATCCAGGGATACCAATTTCCTAATGTTGCTATAAACTGACCACTGCAAACTTATCAGTTTAAAACAACACAAATGTCTTATCTTATAATACTGGATATGAGAAGTCCTCCTGCCTAGGTTTGATCAGGCTAAAAGTCAAGACATCCACAAGCTATATTCCTTCTGGAGGCTCTGGGGGAAGACTATCTGTACTCTTTCTAGCTCCTAAAGACTACCCACCTACATGCCTTGTCTCATGGCTTCCTCTCTCTGTCCTCAAAGGCAGCAATCCTGCATCTCTTTAATCATTCCTTCATAGTCACATCTCACTCTGACTCTGTTCTTTTACCTTCATCTTCCATTTTTAAGAATCCTTGTGATTATATTGGACTTCAGATATCCAAACCTGTGTTCAAATCAGCCAGTTACCAATCTTAATGCATCTGCACTCTTAGCTCTCCTTTGACATGTGACACATTATAATTATAGGTTTTGGGTTTAGGATGTGAACATGGGGCTATTATTCCGCCAGCCACACCACGTTTGGAAACCAACAACCTATTCAATATAAATATTCCTTTCCAAGGCTATCATATGGACGAACTTTATCCAGTGAACCTATGTGACAAAATTGATGTTCCTTTTAAATGGGGTGAGTAGTCTTTAAAACATGTATATCCTTTCATCTGACAACTTCACCTCTAGGAGTGGATTTTAAGAAAGTAAATTTGGAGAGTACACAAAGATTTAAATATCCAGGTGTTCAACACTGTATTGCTCCTGATAGGGAAAAATGGACAGTAACATAAATGGCCAATAGTAGGCCATTCGTCAAACACATTAGTTCCCTGTACACTGAAAGTGAAACTATAGACATATATTTATTCATGAAAATACATATGAAATACAGAAAGTTATATACACATACACTATACATATGTGCACTTTAAATTCATTGTAAAAATACATATACATAATCAAGCTAGATACAATTATTTTTAAAGCACTACTGGTAATAGGAAAAGCTTGAAGTGACATCCATTTCTTTCCTTCTGTCTTTATTTCTTTCTTTTTCTTTTCTTTCGTACAGGGTCTCACTATGCAGTTAAGACCCATAGTGATCCTCCTGCCTCAGCCTCCCCAGCACTGGGATTACAGGCAAGCACCATGACGCCTGGTTTCAAGGATGACACAGCACACCCAAGGTTCTGGGGCTGGCATGGCATGTGGTACTGGGGATTGAACTTGGGACCTTGTGCTTGCCAAGCAGGCACTTAGACCACCAAGCTATCTCGCCAGCCCCCAAAGTGACATCAATTTCTGTCAAAGACAAATTTGCTAAATACATTGTGATGTGTCTCAACAATTGAATATTATAGAGCAGGTAAAAGTAGTCAAGTAGATTTATACACACTGATATGGAAAGACATGTAAGATACAGCATTAATTTTAAAAGGCAATTTATCAAATAATCTTCTGTATTTCATATTACTTCATATATGTTTTTGGAAAAGGGAAATGCCAGTACTGTGTATGTGTATGTCTGCATGTGTAGTATTATTGCTGTACACAGAGCTGCACAATTCCTGAGGAGACCATTAACATCCTGTCACATGACTGTGTGACAAAGACTCTCTGAAACACAAGGTATTCATTTGCAGATGCATGTTCACATATGTTTGTGTGTACATGTGTGTAACCATATATACACAGATGCATATACTGTATACATGTACACAGTATATGTGTATTTGCACATGCATAAGAAATGATTGAGATAATTTTAATTCATTAGCCAGGGTTTTAATGGGGAGAGTATGACTTGCAAGACC